TATGCACGGAGCTGATGAGCCCAGGCAGCCCGGCAGGGTACCTGTCTTGAAGGGGAGCCCAAGTCGCAGGGGACTAGAGCAAAACATGGTGCCAGTTAATTCCTGTTTTCGCCCAGGGCTGCCCTGCTGTAATCAGTGGTCAGGGAGAAACAGCATCCTCTGGGGGAAATTAGAACACTCTATTCAACACTAGGGGCAACTCTTGACTGTGCCACTATGCCAGAGTCCAGCCAGGTGACAGTTCTCCCAGGTCCTTGGTCATGTCAGCTTACCCTTGTTCAGAGCCATATGCAGTTTGTGTCTATGTCACTTAAATAATGTGCCATTTATAGTTTTTATTTTTATTTTATTTTTATTTATTTATTAAGAGTTTATTTATTTATTTGACAGACAGAGACCACAAGTAGGCAGAGAGGCAGGCAGAGAGAGAGGAGGAAGCAGGCTCCTCGCTGAGCAGAGAGCCGGACACGGGGGTCAATCCCAGGACTCTGGGATCATGACCTGAGCCAAAAGCAGAGGCTTTAACCCACTGAGCCACCCAGGCGCCCTGTAGTTTTTATTTTTTAAAAAGATTTTATTTATTTATTTGGGAGAGAGAGGGAGAACAGAGAGGGAGAGAGAGAGAAGCAGACTCCCCGCTGAGCAGAGAGTCTGACATGGAGCTCAATCCCAGGACCCTGAGATCATGACCTGAGCTGAAAGCAGATGCTTAATGGCTGAGCCACCCAGGCACCCCTCATGTGCCCTTTAATACAGGCACCAAGGAGCAGACTGCTTCGACAGCTAAAATTCCAGGATCATTCCAAATAAGTTTAAAAGGTCGGGTTTCATTCTGTGTGTGTAATAAATCCTTTATTTTGAAAAGAAAGAGGAATGATCTATTTTATTAACAGAAAAATTGGTTTCTCCATATCCTGCCTCAGTAAATTTTGGACAACTGTTTTTAAAATATCAAGTTGACAGGATGCCAGATGATTGGCCCGCCCAGGGCACCTCTGTGTCTCAGCTGGATTCCGTATGTGGATAAAGAAAACACAGAGCCCTGGAAGGATTTATAGGGAACAGTTAACCAGGCAATCACTAGGAGGTGGTATTATAAGAACTTTTACTTTCTGCCTGAAAGGGTTTTCTTTCTACCTTAAATGCGTCTCTCATGTTTTGAAACAGACATTATTGGTGGGAATGTAAAATGGCACAACCCACTTTGGAAAGGAGTTGCTTTAAAAAGTTACCAACCATATGATCCAGGCTTTCCATGCCTAGGTAATTAACCAAGGGGAATAAAAGCCTGTGTCTGTAAAAAGACTTGTACTTGAGTGTTCGTTGGTACCAGCTTTATTTACCCAAAACTAGACACAACCCAAAGGTCCATTAACAGGTGAATGGATGAACTTGGTGCCCTGTGTCTGTACAATGGACCTGTTAGAGCTGAGCAGTAAAAAGGAAGGACTTACAGATATCCCTAATAACATAGCTGAATCTCAAAAGAATTAGGCTAAGTGAAAGGAGCCAGATGGAAAAAGAATACATACTGTGTGATTCCACTTCTATAAAAGTCTAGAAAATACAAACAAATAGAATGACGGAGAGCAGGTCGGTGTGTGCCTGGCTTTTGGGGGTAGGTGAGGAGAAACGGGAGGGACAGATTACAAAAGAGGATGAGGAAACCTTTAGGAGTGATCCAAATCTTCCCCATTTTGATTGTAGTCATAGTTTCATTAATGTGTATGTGCATGTGTGTATATGTAGAGGAGGAGGTATAAACACATCAAATTGTAAACTCCAAATATGTGCGGTTTACTGTTAAAAAAGAAAAAGAAAGAGGGGTGCCTGGGTGGCTCAGTGGGTTAAGCCTCTGCCTTCAGCTCAGGTCATGGTCTCAGGGTCCTGGGATCAGGCCCTGCATTGGGCTTTCTGCTCAGCGGGGAGCCTGCTTCCTCCTCTCTCCCTGTCTGCCTGCCTCTCTGCCTACTTGTGATCTCTGTCTGTCGAATAAATAAATAAAATCTTAAAAAAAAAAAAAAAGAAAAAGAAAAAGAAAGAAAGAAAGGAAGGGACGCCTGAGTGGCTCAGTTGAGTTGGTTAAGCGTCTGCCTTTGGCTCAGGTCAGGATCCCAGGGTCCTGGCACCAGGCTCCCTGCTCAGCCGGGAGCCTGCTTCTCCCTCTGCCCCTCCCCCTGCTCATGCTTTCTCTCTCTCTCTCTGACAAATAAATAAATAAACAAAATCTTTAAAAAAAAAAAAGTGGAAGAGAAAGAAAAGACAAAGAGGGGTACCTGGGTGGCTCATTCAGTTAAACATTGGCCTTTGGCTCATGTAGAAGTCCCTGCTCAGCAGGGAGTCTGCTTCTCCCTCTCCTTCTGCCTCCCCCCAACCCACTCATGCGCTCTCTCTCTCTCTCTCAAATAAATAGATAAAATCCTAAAAAAAAAAAAAGAAAAAGAAAAGAAAAGAAAAAGAAAGAAGAAAGAGAAAGAAAAGAACAGAAAAGAAAAGTCTTTTATTTTTTGGGGGAGAAAAAAGCAGTAAGGATACATTCGAAGGCACACCCACATAAAAATGTGTGTTTTCACTACATGTTTGTCTCCTAAATCTAGTCTCCTCTGCCCATCACTGCAGAGAGTAACTGCAGTGAACGTGCTCTTGTATTCAGCTTGTTTAAGAGGATTTGTTCCTTTCTCTCCCCCGTGTCCCCCACCAAGCGTGAACTAGGTGGGATCCTGCTGAAATGGAGTCAGATAAGATTTCCTCATCACCCTTGCGCCATGATGGCCAGAGCTGCTCCCTGTGGAGGCTACAGGCTGTGAGGAATGTGATGATGTGTTTACTTTGGAGCAGACTTTGGACTGTAAATACACTCTCGGCTCAGACCAAAATCAGCTCCTGATAGGAGATAGGCTCTTCCAAAATAGCTGGAGGTCAGTCCTCCCTCCCGAGGCCCTGGGTAGGTCTTTAACTGAAGGGAGGGAAGGGTTTAGAGCTCACGCAGAGCATTTTTTCTTGGTATCCCTAGAGCCTAAACTGGGAACACTGTTGACTACAGAAACCTGTCGAGAAGTACACGAGGATAGTTAGGAGGACATGATTGGCTGGGCTTTATGAGGTCTCAGAGGGGCCCCTGTTCTCTAGGAGTAGGAGGTTTGCACCTTTGCTGGCCTAGACGCTGACCAGCCGCGTGACCCCAAGTTGGTTAGGACCAGAGGGAATCCACTGGAGCCTCCAGAATGCAAAACTTCTCCAGTAACAACAACGATAACCACAACAGTAACTGTCCCATGTACTGAGCAAGGGTTTTATGTTTATCGCCACATGTAATCCTCACATACTCTGCGAGACAGGAGCACCCTGACTCCAGAGCCTAACTCTGAACGATGGTGCCCTACTGCCTTCCAGGAAGCTATGGGACATCCCAGCATGGCACAGATTCTCAACTCAGATCCAGGTTCAACTCCCCATTCAGCCGTTGAAGAGCTGTGTGGGAACAACAGTAATACCCCCCTCACCCGGCTGTTCTGATGGGCTTACGAAATAATGTAGGTAGCATGGACTGCGCACACAGCAGCTGATCGAGACATGGTAGCTACCGGGGCCCCTGGCAGGCTCAGTCAGTAGAGCATGCAACTCTTGATCTCAGGGTTGTGAGTTCGAGCCCCACATTGGGTGTGAAGTCTATTTAAAAAAAAAATTTAAAAAGCCTATTAAAAAAAAAAGTATATTTATTACATACTTCCTGTTCATTATTAGCATCATCATCGTCCAGAAAGATCTTCCAGAAAAACTTCCCCTCATTTGATCCTCCTGAATCTTACCTGTGGACATCCACATGGTTCACTCCCTCATGTCCTCAAATCTGTACTCAAGTCCCGCTCTCTGTGAGGCCTTCCCTGGCCCACCATGTAAACTGGAACTCCCTCGTCTCTCCCTCGGCAACTCCCCAGCCTCCTTTTCTGCCCTATTCTCCTTCACCTTTGCTCACCTTTGAGCATAAAGTGTATCACCCACATACACTATATATAACTTATTTATTTTGTTTATATTCTTTCCAAATAATTCATGAAGACGCCGCTGTCTAGAAAACGCCTGGCACGGGCCAGGTGCTCAGTAAATATTTGATGTTGAGTGAATGGATGAACCCTTGCTGGAGGTTTCAAGTTGGAGTTCAGGTTCTGCTTCTCTTCAGTCTTGTAACAATAATCAAGGAATTCGGCTTCCCGGAGCCTCCTTTTCCTCAGTGGCTGAAAAAGAGCCGTAGCACCTGTGCTCCTCGGGGCACTGGTAGAGCCTAAGGGAAGGACACCTGCATGGGAAGGAATCAGCTCCAAAGACTCCAGAAACACTGACTGAGCATCGGCTCCACGTGAGGCAGGATGCCAGGCTCTGGGGGGTGCAGACATGCCGCCGGAAGCCCTTGCCCTCCGGGGTCAGACACCTCAACAAATACTTACAACCTAATGGCGGGAAGGGCTCTGTCTGTAGCAACCACTCATCAAGCTAAGTACTTTGCCTTAATTGTCTCAAGTAACGCTCGGAGCTGGGTACCACCACCAGCTTTGTTTTAGAGACAAGGAAACTGCAACAAGAAATTAAGTAACAGGACGCTTGGGTGGCTCAGTTGGTTGAGTGACTGCCTTCGGCTCAGGTCATGATCCCGCAGTCCTGGGATCCAGTCCCACATCAGGCTCCCTGCTCCATGGGGAGTCTGCTTCCCCCTCTGACCTCCCCTGTCATGCTCTCTCACTCTGTCTCTCTCTCTCTCAAATAAATAAATAAAATCTAAAAAAAAAAAATTAAGAAACAAGGGCTTGTTCCACACCTAGGTATATACCCAAGAGAGACAAAAATGTGCACATGGTGATTTGCAGCAAATTGTATAGCAACATGATTCATTCGAGCCGAAAGGCAGAAACAAGGCAGATGTCCACTACCAGACGAACAGATAAACAAAACGTGGAACATCCGTACGATGGAATATAATTCAGCCATAAACAGGCACGAAATACGGACACGTGCCTCCGCTTGGCTGAACCGAGAAAGCACGTTCGGTGAAGGAAGCTAGACACAAAAGTTACATCCTCTACGGATGACTGTATGTGATGCGGCCCGAGCAGGCAAATCCGCAGAGACGCAAAGGAGATCAGCGGTTGCCAGGGAAGGACCGGGGCGGTTGGGGACGTCGCTGCTTAACAGGCATGGGGTGTATTGTGATGCGATGAAAAATTTTGGCACAACACTGTTAACATCCTAAACACCACTGAATTGTGTGCTTTAAAATGGTTCGTTGCACGTTGTGTGGTTTCCACCTCGATGCAAAAAGAAACAAGGACCGGCATTGTCAGTCGTCCAGGCTGACCAAGGACCAGAGCCCGGCTGTGCCCCAGAGCCTGCGCTCCCTCTTAACCACGGAAGATGTCGAATTCAGCATTGTATCTTCCAGTTCTGGGACTTCCATTGGATTCTTTTTTTATAGTTTCCAGTTTTCTGCTGAAATTCCTGTTACACCATTTCCTGAATGCCCTCCTCCCAGTTATTTGAGTTGCACCTTGAGCTCGGGGCAGTTAGCAAGGTACCATGACCACTGGCGGGGTGGGGGGGGGGCAGTGAACTCTGATTTTTTTTCTTTTTTTTTAAGATTTTATTTTTATTTATTTATTTGACAGGCAGAGATCACAAGTAGGTAGAGAGAGGAGGAAGCAGGCTCCCCGCTGAGCAGAGAGCCCGATGCGGGGCTCGATCCTAGGACCCTGGGATCATGACCTGATCGGAAGGCAGAGGCTTAACCCGCTGAGCCACCCAGATGCCCCCACTCTGATTTTTGTGGCCGCAGGCCTCCTGACACCAAACTTCTGCCTGCTTTTCAGCCTCCTACCTGCCCTAGTCAGTACAAGCCTTCAGGGCTCGAGGGGAAGAGCAACTCCCCATCTCAAATGCCTCTTTCTGGGCCTTTTCTAGGTGCTCCTGATGGGAAGTTTGACCTGATACTACTCACCTGCCAGGGGGACAAGCAGGAAGCACGGGAGCCCCACCCCCACACCCCTCTTCCCCTGCTGCCCTTCTGCCAACAAGGATACAGACTTCAAAATTAGGGGTGCCTGGGAGGCTCAGTTAAGCATGTGACTCGATTCTGGCTCAGGCCATGATCTCAGGGTCATGAGATCAAGCCCCACGTCAGGCTCTACGCTGGGTGTGGAGCCTGCTTAAGTTTCTCTCTTCCTCTCCCTCTGCTCCTCACCTCCCCTCCCCCTAAAAGAAAAGAAAAGCTCAGTGAAATCATGGTTTTCAAAGTTTTGTCATTTATTTACTTATTTGGGGGCTCTTTCTATTTCATTCTAAGACACACAACACAATCTAATATCCAAAAGAAATAAATGACATGAGCTGCTATTTATTGAGTACTTCTGAAGGGCTTACTGTTTTAAGCATTTAACATGTATTAACTTACTTAGTTCTTATAAAAAGCCAAAGAGCATGTGTTGCCATCTCCGCTGCCATAGGTGAAGGAACCAAGGCCCCGAGAGGTAAAGACATTGGCCCAAGGACACCCAGCTTCTGCCACATGGAGCAAAGTCACAAACCTAGGAGTTGCCAAACATTCTCTATGAGTGAGGAATGAGTAAGAATTAGAGTATCTAGGCTTATCTATCTGCAATGAATTAGAGTATCTAGGCTTGAGAGGGCAAGGAAGCCAGAAAAAATGAGGACACCAGATGGAAAATGGCTAAGGGAGAGGAAGCAATGTTTGGGGGGCAAGAACAGAATTCTCTTCAGGGGGCTTGAGCTATGAGGACAAGTAACTGGACCTCTGGGGCCTCAGGATCTTCATCTGTAAAATGGGACTGATAAAGGTACTGACCCGTGGCCTGTTCCTAGGATTCTTGCACTCAGTCCCTTTCCCTGTTTCTCTCAGTGAGGCAGGAGAGCTTCCCTGTTGGGGAGGTTTGAGTCAGGGAGAGGAACACAGAGATTCAGCTTCCAGGTGGGGTCACCCCTGCCTTGAGTGGAGCCTCATCCTCCTTTGGAAGGAAACTTGGACGTGGTCGCCAGGGCCTGCAGGTGGGGAGAACAGAGAGAGTGCTTTCCCCGGTCCTACGGGCCCCCAGGGAAGGGAGGCCCTTAATACAAAATCACCCCCAAACCTAAAGAGAGTACCAGAACTCTCAATATTCAGTTAGTTAGTCAACGTGTGTTCACTGAGCAACATCTATCAGGCAGGACTCTCCTGGTGGCCAGCGGCAGAAACTCAGCTGAAACTCCTAAAGGAAAAAGGAGAATTGAAGGGACGCTGTAAGCAGACAGTGTAAGGTGGGGAGGGAGGTTCAGGTATGTCTGGACTCAGGGCCCTAGTGACCCCACCACGATCTGCCTCCCTCTGTGAAGGGCCCCGCTTTTCCCTCTGTCGGCTTCCTTCTCAGGCAGGCCCACTCACATGGTGATAAAGACGCCCCCCAGCCATCCAGGCTGACCTGCTTTCCCAGAACTTCTAGCAAAAGTCCAGGGCTGATGCTAGCTCACTCTGGTAACTGCATCCCAATCCCAGCGTCAGAGGGATGTGGGCCTCACACTGGCCGGCCCTGGACTGCATGCTCTCCCCGCGTGAGCCCTTGATATAAAGAGGTGTAAACAGATTTACTGAGCCCTTCCTCTGTGAGGGACACTGTTCCAGGAGCTGCACAGGAATTTAAACCTCCCAGAACCCCGTGAGGTCAGTGATTATGTGTCATCGCCATCAGGCAGGTGAGAAAACTGAGCACAGAGAAGTCAAGTGACTTGCCCTGATCACACAGCTGGGAGCTAGCAAGGCTGGACATCACACCCACGAGTCACAGAGCCGGTCCTCTCGGCCACTGCACCACATGGTGTCCACCGTTTCTCCCTCCACCCCACTCCTCTGTCCAGACTGAATCACTTCAGTTCCTCAAATGGCTGAGCCTTCTCCTGCCTCCTGGCCTTTGCACGCACTGCTTCCTCCGTCTGGCCCCATCCTGTCCCTTCCCTCCTGGTGAACTTCTACTCACCCTCCCGCCTCTGATGAAACAGCTTGTGCTTAGGGCGTCGTCCTGACCCCTCACACTGAATAGGGCCCTTCGCAGCCCCCCTCCAGGTGTCCCCTGTGAGAGGTCACTCTCGCCTGCATCTTGATGATATCCCCTGCCAGGTGACAGCCCCATGAGGTGGCTTAGGTACTGCTGTTGCCAGGAACTTGCCACAGCTGGGCAGCAGTGGGAGACGCGCTGTGTCCCCCAGTGGTTCTAACAATGTCCTCCAAAAGCAGAGGCTTAACAGAACACAAATGTGTTCTCTGCTGGTTCCGGAAGCCAGAAATCCAAAATCAGTTTTGCTGAGCTAAGACCTGGCTCCTTCTGGAGGCTCTAGGGTAGAATCCGTTTCCTTGCCTTTCCCAGAGTCCAGAGGCCACCAGCAGCCCTCGGCTCCCAGGCCTGTCTTCCATCCCCAAAGACAGCAGTGCTGCACTCTGAAGCTCTTTCTGTCCCTCCATGTCGTCATATCATCTATCCGAAAGGACACCCTCTTATGAGGACTGTTGTGATTGTATCAGACCCACTTAGATAATCCAGGATAACCTCTCCATCTCAAGATCCTTCACTTAATCACGTCTGCACAGGCCTCTTTTGCCAGAGAAAGTAACAGTCACAGGTTCTCGGTGGCGATGTGGAGAGGGTCTACTATCCGGCCTACCACAGGGATGAAGGGTGAGGGCTCGAGGCCTGGGGGCCCGCTGTTGAACCAGAAGATGGTTCAACCTCCAACTTGCGGTGTGACCAACTTGCGGTGTGACCAAGGGATTGAACCTCCCTGTGCCACAGAGGGCAGAGGGCAAGCGGTGAGCACTCTGAGGAACTGAGAGCACTTCAGGCTGGAGGACGGGTCATTTGGCATCAAGCCTCAGCTCTGAGACAGTTTCTGTGTCTGTGGAATGGAGAGGGTAACAGTCCCTTCCACACAGCCCTTCCTCCCAGCCCTGGCTGTCATGGGATTAAATGAGTCAAGACACGGGAAGTACTGAGCAGGGTGCTTGGTATAGAGAAAGTGCTGGATAAACAGTGGCGGTCTGGCAGTTAACTGCTGTCTGTCTTCGTTAGGTTTCCTCAGAAGCAGACTCAGAATTTTTTTTAAAGATTTTATTTATTTATTTGACACAGAGAGAGGCAGCGAGAAAGGGAACACAAGCACGGGGAGTGGGACAGGGAGAAGCAGGCTTCCCGCTGAGCAGAGAGCCCCAGGCAGGACTCGATCCCAGGATCCTGGAATCATGACCTGAGCTGAAGGCAGACGCTTAACAACTGAGCCACCCAGGTGCCCCACAGACTCAGAATTCAAACGCAAGGTATTCTTTCAGGAAATGATCCTGGGAAGCACAGGGGTGGGGGGTGGTTTGTGGTGAGACACATAAGGAAGGAAGCCTCTGGAGTCATGTTAATGAGGGGGCTGCCCCTGTGAGGGCTGAAGGGGGAGGGGCTGGGGGACAGGCCCTCAGTATTGGGGGAGTGAGTCTGCTCCACTGTGGCCTCCCCGCCTACCTTGTGTGCAGGCAGAATGTGGGGTTGTCGTGACTAAACTTAGTCCTGACTTCATTCATGAGAAGCACTCACCCAGCGACCAGGTGACTGGGGAGCAACTGGGCAACAGGACTGGCCCAGGCTGAAGGGGTGTGGGTGGACCCCAGTGTGTGGTACAGGCATCACACAAGGTCGTCTCCACCAAGCCTGGGTCCTGGCGACTGTCCACCAAGTGGCATTCCCCAGAAGAGTGTGGCTCCTTCTGCCTTGGAAGAGGGCAGGCCAGGTCTGAGGCCTGAGCGTTTCGGGCCCCGAAGAGCAGTTAGGAGAGGCTCTTACTCACAATCATTTACTTTCTCCAAAATGCAGGTGTTGTCCAGGGCAGGCTGAAGTGTCAACGTTAACAGATCTCCACAGTTCTGGGGGAGGTCTTGCCTGCACACGGCTGACAGGTGGGCTGGGCAGCCTGGGGCCTCAGAGGCTGACAGG